CATGGAGTGTAACAGGTTAGAAGGTTAACTCGAGCGCGATTGGGAGTACAAACTCTTAGTTCTAGCTATGGTTCAATTCCGCTGGCTCAATTATCTGATAGAGAATATGCAAACGATCGGTGCTCTTCAGAGGTATCACATTGAATTCAATTCAGAGTCACTTTCACTGTTTTTATGGATAGTTTTGTTGGTTCTCCATAATTCCATTCAGAATCATTTGGTGCCTAATTGAAATTCCTGTGTGTTTGAAAGCCCGTACCCTTGGGAAACATGAAAGCCTGCTGGATATGCCATCAGGCAGGCAAATCGTTTTGGTGTATGAAATATAAAGATAGCAGCTTCTATTGTCATTTTCTACTTTCACTCTTGTTTAATTGATCAGTTGAGCAGGATTCCATAACTGAACCCTTCTTCATCTTTTCTCGATTGATCATTTACTTATGGTTATACCTATATGTTGCTGTCCTGATTGACCATCTTCCCGCAAAACGGCAGGCACAATTCAGTCATCAAGCTGCATTCCAAAATTTGGATCAAAATGCTGGAAGTGTGCAAAAGGATAAAATAGGGAAGAATATTTCTAGAAAGGAGAAGACTGGCTTTCTTATTAACACAGTACGCATTTGAAGAGTTTTCTCAAGCTTCTTTCTGCTTACGTTTGTCTACATTGAGAACCAAAAGAAAAAGTGACTAGGAGTTGAGAATATACTTTTTTGCGTCTTCTTTGAACTACGAATGTTTTAGCATATTTGGTATTCTGATGATATAGGCTTTTGTGCTGCATGTAGTTAGTTAGGAGCTGGCTTACCACACTTGTGATGCACTTCCCAGTTTCAAGATAATCAATTTACTTCACCATAGGGTAGCTTAGATTTTAAAAAAAAAAAGCCAAATTTAATGAGCTTCCTAAACTTTTCTACTTGCCTAACATCATGATCCAGTCTCATAGATCCAGTAGTAGTAGCAGTCGTATGAATAAAATGGTAAGAACATTGAAGTTAGGAGAAGCATCAGTAGCAATAGAGCCTAATATGTATATAAGACATTATTCATGTTCACCATAATCCAAAGAAGCTTAGCTTCTTGCTGTATGTTGCTTCAAAAATATAGTTATGATAACTGCACTTTGTCCCTTTTAATCATTTTTCTTCTTTGGTATGTTGCCTCATGCTGTTAACTCTTATAGGCAAGTTAATGAATCCCTCATATCTGTAGCTCATGGATCTCAAGGATAACAAAGAAGGCATTTATGGTGCTCTGGATGCTTGGGTCGCATGGGAGCGGGAATTTCCCATTGGTCCTCTTAAGCATGCTTTGCTGGCTCTTGAGAAGGAACATCAGTGGCATCGGATTGTTCAGGTGCAAACCATTTTCTTTCTGTTACCGTATCAAATTACATCCTAACTCATTTGTAGAATATCCTTTGCATGTACTTCACTTGTGTGTATGTCCATTTTCATTAGGAAGCAAAATTCAAGTACTAATATGTCTTCCCTCATCAACTTTCCTCTTTATACGTTTCTTGAGTTTCTACTGTGTAGGTTAAGCTTTAGAAACCAAAAATTCGAATCATTCTGATAATGCTCAATTTTTTTTTTTTTTACAGTAAAGATAATGCTCAATTTGTTGGACCTGTTTTGTGCATTTCCCCTCATTCCATGTTAATTTTCCTCTAGGTGATCAAATGGATGTTGAGCAAAGGTCAGGGAAACACAATGGGAGCGTATGGGCAATTGATACGTGCATTGGATAAAGACCACCGAGCAGAGGAAGCACATACTATTTGGGTGAAGAAAGTTGGTACCGATCTTCATTCTGTGCCATGGAAGTTATGTAGCATGATGATATCGGTATACTACAGAAACAACATGCTAGATAGGCTTGTTAAGGTAAGCTGCTAGTACTTACTTCTTCACTGCCTGCAATCAACTCAATTCAAGACTAATCGTGATTCTGCATCTTGAAGCTTTTCAAGGGCATGGAAGCATTTGATAGGAAACTCTATGACAAGGTTATAGTCCAGAGAGTAGCCAATGCACATGAGATGCTAGGGATGCCAGAAGAAAAAAAACGAGTACTCCAAAAGTACGCTGATGTTTTCGCTGAGAAGAAGCAACGATTTGGGAAGAGATCTAAACAGTCCACTACAAAGGAGAAGCAGGATAATATGCAGTGATTAGGGTCTCTTAGTCATATGACTAAATCAATTTCAGTCATAGGTTGAAATTTTTGTACGATGTTCAGGGAATCCGATTTTCGGTTGGTTTTGAATGCAGGTTAGGATGATTTGAATCCATTTATAAAAGTAAAAAAAAAAAATGAAATTTACATTGCACTTCACTAATTTTGTCTACGCCAATAACCAATTAAATAGTAAACGGTCAGTTCTCGGTAGGAAAATTTAAGTAACTACTAACTACTAACCGATGATTAGACGGTTAGTAACCGACTAACCAATTATGGTCATCCTTATAGTTATAGCAAAATACATTTTGTGACTTAGGTTCAAATGAGAATAATTTCAAGGAAGAACTTTCGAAGGAGCACAATAGAAAGTTGGACTTGCGCATATACCTCGACAACGATCAATACCATTTAAGCTTCCATGTAATTGGTGGGGAGTATGAGTTAACTAATTGTTGTTGAGTCAATTATTCTTGTTAGCTTCTTTAATCAAATTTGAAGGTAGAAGAGTGTTAATAGTGTACTTATGTTGAATTGACTTGATTATAAATTTTCATCCATGTTAAATTATTTTTATTCAATGATAACAACTTAAAAAAAGAACACATACGTATGTAGAAAAAATCTAAAAAATGCACAATTGAAAAAATGAGGAGGTTTTCTATTGGTTAGGTTATCGATAGATTATTTTGGTATAACCTTTCAAAATCACATGCATAATGGTTACACGGTTAACCGACTATACGGTTACGGTTAACTGACAAATATAAACAATACGGTTAACAGTACGCACAAAGTACTTAACGATTAACCAAGAACCGACTAAACGGTTTCGGTTATAACTGAACCGAACCTAGCCGATTATCAGCCCTAATAGCTACAATCAGTGGCGGATTCAGAAAATTTTCAGAGGGGTGTCCTCTTCAAAAATTAAATTTAATTAAATAATAAATTAAATAATTCATATATTAAAAATATCATACTTGTATAAAATTTTTTTATTAAAATTCATGATGTGTTTTCATATTTTGAAAAAATAATATAAAATAAATTCCGTGTCTGTACTGTTCAAAAACAAATCTACATATCCTACTAGACAATACTTCACGAACTTATCACATATTCGATTTCTAACCTTGTTCTTAATGTAGCTCAAAGTAGAAAAGACTCTTTCAACACTTGCCGTGTAACCATAAAATCAATTCAAAATTAAGGATAGCGTGTAGGTAGTTTAATTATTAGGTATTGAAAATAGTTGGGGATAAAGAAATAGCGTTTTACTGTTGCATGATGTTTAAAATAGAATAACAAATGAGTAGCAACATAATTAGAATATGTTTGATATTAGTAGTGTCCTATGTTGGAATAACACGAACTACCACTTATATTTTGTTAATCATAATTAAGCAAACTATTATCGAGGGTAGGATAATCATTTTTTCAAATGTTAGGGTGTCCCGAATTACCAATTATATTTTGTATACCCATACGAAACTACTATCGGAGGTTGGATAATCGTTTTTCCAAATTTTAGGGGTGTCCCGGGACACCCCTAGAGGTCCATGTATCCGCCCCTGGCTACAATCGTCCAGCAATTTAAACGTTTGGCCATTTATGACATTTTTAATGATTTTGGCTATTTCAATTTTGGCTATTTCTAGCAAAAGGTTTGACTGTTTTTATGTATTAACCTTTTATTTTATTTATTTTTGCTCTAAAATAATAATTTTGTTTTAGCAGTTGTTTGAGCCTAGAATGTGATAGAAACAAAGTCCCTATCGCGTTTGATATTTGGGGATTAGTATTTATACGAACATACTTAGAGATTGAGATTGAGATTTGGGAAAGAAGAAGATTAGAATCGGCCTAGGCCTTAGAGGGATTGAGACGAGAATTGAGAGGATATGGAGATTAGGGTTTGAAAGGCTTTTCTTAATATTCTTCTTATTGATCCTAAATGAAACTCAAAGTGCATATTTATAGAGAATACTAGAAAACCCTAATAATAAACTTAATTCGACTAAATGACTACTAACTATAATTATAATAATCTTAATAATAAGGGCTAATACCAATAGGAAACCCCAAGTATTAACTTTGTGCCATTTGTATCCTAAAGTATTTGATACGACAATTGTGTCCCAAAGTATTTTTCCGTTATGGTTGACTACCGTTGACCGTTAATTTTGAATTAATTGACAGGTCATCGCTGATGTGTCGTCTAGGTGGATTTTTTTATTTACAAACTCGAGCCCGTGTTTACACGTCATATTTAAAAAAAAAAAAGTTAAATGAAATCGGGGTTTCACCCGAACCCGAATCACTTTTACCCCTCCCCTCCCTCGACTTCCCCCAAAGAAACTCAAGAACCCTAACCTTTCTCCCGATTCTCCGATTCTCTTCCCCGACGAACAGAGGGGAGTCGATTCGCCAGCTCCTCAGTCTGTCAACATCTCAAACATCGGGCGCGGCGCAGGGACGAACATCCTCGACGGCAACTTCGAAACCTTCGGGCGCGGCGGGCAGGGAGGAACGAAGGGGCCTGCGCGATTTCTTCTGCAATCATCGTCGCCGACCTTGCGCGAGTGGTTGTATCATCTTCTTGTGAGGAGTAGATGATGCCTCTACTATCAGAGGTATCGGGCTGTATGGAATTTTGTTTCGCCCAAAATTTCTAGGGTTTTGGAGCGAAGGGGCTTGTCCGTTTTTCTGGAGTTGTGGAGCTATTTGAAGGTCAATTAAGTAGGTGGGAAGCGGAAGGAAGGTGGTAATCGCACAAGAAAGTAAATGTGGTGGGTACGAAGTAGCTTTGCTCTGTAAGATTCGCTGGAAGTAGAAGGGGAAAGCAGGGACCACGACGAAGCTGTGAAGACGAGATTACCCCCTTTGCGAGTTGAGCAACAGGTACGAATTCAATTCCAAAAGCACCTTCTGGTCATTTCCATCCATGTATAGTGATTTGGTTGTATTGGAGTTGTAATATTCAATTCATAAAGGTCACGGGTTTGTGGATTGCTAGATTGCAAAGTTGTCTTTTAGCAACTTTCGGGAATGCTTTTAATGGTAGAAAATTATTGACCCTAGTATGTGATTGGATTAATATAATCGAGGATTTGTAATATTAACCATGTTATGTAACGTGCAGGATGACTACGTACTTGGAATTGATAGTCCACCATGGTGGGAAAATGGACTATTCTGAGGAGGTTCCTCGCTACCTAAATGGCAAGATTGAAGAAGTTGACATGGACCTAGACTACATCTCCTACTTCCAGTTACAACAGCTTGGTGTTGTCCACTTTGAATACGCTAGGGTCGAGCGCTTGTGGTATATGGCTCCATCGCATAATTTGGGAAATGGTTTGGTTGAAATAAGGTCCGACATCGAGGTAATGGATGGACTGATTCATGCAGTTGAAAATGAAAAAATTGTCATCTTTATGGAAGGTATAGAAACTCAAGTTGGAGATAATGAAGAGGCTGGTGGAGGGAACAGTGATGACTATGATACAGAAGGTGATGAGGAGTCACAGAATCGAGACATCATCCATCTTATGGATGATGATGTGCGCACTTCTGATGATGAGTTCGTCGATGCTTTGGAGAATCAAGGGATTAGAGCAAGACGGATGAGAGTTCGAAACATTAAAGATGCAACTGGTGAAGCTGTGGAGCAGGAATCTGTAACTGATTATGAGCAGACCGAACAAGATGTTCCCTCAAATGCTATGGGATCTGAATATGAAGAAGCTGAAGATGAAGAAGCTGAAGCTATCCCACATGTACAGTCAGAACAAGGGGGAAACCAAACTCAACCCGAAGCTGAAGATATGGCACATGAAAGGGCAGAACAAGTGGGAAACCAAACTCTACCCGAATCAGAATATAGAGGTTCAGTTGACTCACGACATGTTCGTGGGAATCTAGACGAAGAGCCAGCTGATCCTATTTATGACGGTCCCCACTATGACCCCAGATGTGAACATTCTACACTAAAGTTCACGGTGGGAATGAGCTTCAATTCCCCGGAGCAGTTCAAAGTGGCAGTGGAGGAGCATTCCATCTCAATTGGAGCCGATATCAAGTGGACGAGAAGTGACAAGAATAAGAAGCGTGCTGAATGTCGCCAGAAGTGTGGGTGGTATATCTACGGCAGTTGGCATGCTCGTTCTTTGTTTATGGTTAAGAATCTTGGGAAGGATCACACTTGTCCTAGGGCTGTCCGGATGCGGGTTGCTAATGCAACTTGGGTGGCTAAGAAGTACATTGAACGTTTTCGAAGGGAGCCTGATTGGAAGGTAAAGAATATGATGTTGGAGCTGAGGCAAACACATAATGTTGTAATTTCCAGGAGGCAATGCTATAGGGCGAGGATATATGCGAAGCGGATGTTAGGAGGGTCGTTGATAGAGGAGTATAACAAGCTGAGGAGGTATGTTGGTGCTTTGAAAGAGCGGGATAGAGACGGTACTTTTATTCTAGAGGTTGACCCGTCTAATGTGCCCAACCGAGTGTTGTTCAAGAGGTTGTACATTGGGTTTAGTGGGCTGCGAAAGGGTTTCACTAGGGGCTGCCGACCAATGTTTGCTTTGGATGGGTGCTTTCTTAAAGGTGAAGTTAAGAAAGCATTAAACAGTTGCTTACCTGAGGCATCGCTAAGAAAGTGTGCACGTTATGTTTTCGCGAATTGGAAGGTTAACCATAGGGTGAAGGCATATAGAGACTTATACTGGGATGCTGTGTATGCAACAAACATCAACGATTACAAAGCAGTCATCAAAGTCATGGGGGAGATTCAACAAAGTGGGGCAGATCCATCTTTACTTCAGGATTTTATGGATCATCAACCAGAAACCTTTTGCAGGGCTTTTATGAGTCATACCTCCAGATGTGACTCGGTGGAAAGTAATATTTGCGAAACCTTCAATGGTTATATCTTAGAAGAGAGGGAGGATAGGATCATTGACATGCTCGAGGGTATCCGTAGGAAGCTCATGGTGCGAATAGTTGAAAAGAATAAACAAGCTGGTGGTTGGAGGGATCGGCTCTGTCCTAGGATAGAGAAGAAGATTAGGAAGGGTGTGGATTTAGCCAAGATGTGTCAAGTGATTCCTGGCTTAGAGGACAAGTTTGAAGTTGCCATTGGCCGTAAAGGGTACGTGTTGGACTTGGACGAACATACATGCAGTTGTGGGTCATGGGGATTGACTGGAATTCCATGTGTACACGCAATTGCTTGCCTTCAATGGAAGAGGAGGGAGCCTAGTGAAGTCGTGTCTGCTTACTATACTGTTGGGTCGTTCAAGATGGCATATGAGTTTGGTATTCCTACTATTGAAGGCCAACAAGCTTGGCCAGAATCAGTTGGCTACCCAATTTATCCTCCTAAATTCAAGGTCTTACCTGGACGTCCGAAGAAGCAACGGAGGAAGACACCAGGGGAGATTGAGACAGTTCGACATGGTGGTGATGGATCGGCTATGAGGAAGTTCAGGTCTGTAATGCATTGTAAGAAGTGCAATGCTCCTGACCATAATGTGAGGACTTGTCCGGTTCTTCGGGCTGAACGGGTAAGTGTTTGGATAAATTGTGTTTGGATAAATTGTGAAAATTGTAAGAATCGTTGAATGTTCTTTTCTGTGTTTGGTTAAATTTGCAGGCTTTGGAAGGAGAAGGGGCTGCTACTGGTGGAAGGGGTGCGACTGGTGGAAGGGGTGCTACTGGTGGAAGGGGTGCTACTGGTGGAAGGGGTGCGACTGTTCGAAGGGGGCAGGAGAGGGATGGAGGGGCTGCTGCAAATGAGGAAGGTCAACCCTCGGCAGTGAAAAGGAGACCAGGGTTATGTTCAAAGTGTAAGGGGGCTGACCACAATGCCAGAACATGCCCTCTAGTTGGCGGAATTCAGGTAAGAGGACCATTGCCATTGGCTTTCATGATAGAATGGAATGTTGAGATAACACGTAAATGAACTTATAAAGTGGTGGTTGAATGTTCTTTTCTTTGTTAATGGTAGGAAGCACACATCAATCGTGCTGTCACTAGTAGACGTGCTCAAGACAGAGAAGTTAGGATGGTAAGTTATTTGTTTCATTGTACTCGACAACTTTGACATGTTAGCGGTATAGTAACTCACTTCAATTATTTGCAGGCCAACCAAGGAATTGGTGTGTTGCACACTGATTTAGGAAACACATATGTGATACTAAATGGTCCAGATAGATCAGGAAGGGTGTTGAGAAGTGGCAGGCCATATGGCAACCTTGGTACCGGGTCAACGCCTACGGTGATTGCTGAAGGAGGATCACAACCACCACCGACACAGCCGAGCCAGCAGCAGTAGGAAAGTGGTTGTAAATGGGTGGTATTAGGGGATGTAGGGTTAACGTAGTAGATTATGGATATTATGGATGGTCATGTTTATTTTGCGCAAATATGGTTGCGTTATATCCGGAGGAAATCATGTAAGATTCCCAAACAATGGATTAATTTTGTAACTGACCAACACAATTATGTATGTGTATGGTTCAGACTATGATATTGATCATCTTCTGTTGAACAATTCAGGAATCAGGATGTTTGAATGGTATGTTTATAAGATGATGCTATCGTTGTTTGCATACTGTCATACAAGGGAATTCCTCAACGTCAGATTCAATAACATCGTAAATAAACTCGAGCCATAAGTTACAGAATACATGTGCATTTGCAGACTTCATTTCAGTCCTGCAATGGCAATGCCTACAAGCAGTCCAACGAAAAGGAACAACACAAACAAGAATCGAGCATTGGCCAACTTCAGTTCCCCTACCAGCCTAGTGTTTTCCTCCCTAATGCTAACTAAATCATCAAACAAACATTTTTTAGCCTGCTTCCTTCGCTCAGCTTTCTCTTCAGCAAGTTTCAAGCTTTCCTTCAAGCTCGTAACATGAATCTCCATCGAAGCATACTTCGTCCTAATGTCTTCATCATCTGCCACAATCACATTGGAGCTAGGGGTTTCCTCTTCATCATTACCCTGATCCACCCAACGCCAGAATAGACAATTTTTTGAAGGCTCCTGACAAATAAATCAAGATGTAGTGAGCTGTTGTTAGCGAATAAAATCCCCCAACTAAACAAATAATGCATAAATTACCTTCCAATATGGGCAACAGTAGAATCCCCTCCCCGGATTGAGTTCTGTCCCTGAAACATAAGACTTTGCTGGTATATTATGCCCACACTTCACGATTCGAGAGTTGGAAGAATTGGAGTCACAAGTGCTTTGGCCGAATCTCCTTCCCGACATGTTTTAATTGCTGCCACAAAACCCATTCATTATGGAGAATGAGAACCCAACATCAAACCCTAAAACAACCCAACAACAGCTTCTCACCTGGTTTCCTCGACAAACTAATTCCGAAGCACGCCGTCGCACCACTATCCTCGCCGCAATGAATACCAAATCACCACGAACCGGCGCCGCTCCGCGTTACTGAAACCCAGCGTCGTCGCCACTCCGACGCGAGGGAGCTATCGCAGTCTCTCCTCTGCCCTCTGCTCGCGACGAACCTCTGCCCTCTGCTCGCGACGCCCTCTGCTCGCGACGACCCTCTCGCAAAGAAGAAGTTTGGAAATAGAGGAGCTACAAAGAAGATGAAGAGGGTTAAAATAAAGGGTTTTTTAATTTTAAATCATATTTTTTTTTAATTTAAATCAGAATGGTAAATTTTTTTTTACTAATCTGACGTGTTTGCCTATGTGTCGTCTACGTGGCCAACAGGATTGTGCCACGCAAGCTTCGGAAGCTGACCTAACGGCCGTCTGTCTGGTCAACCGTTACTTTTAACGGTCAACGAAACTGTCAGGATACAAATGACACAAAACTACAATACTTTGGGACACAATTGTCGTATCAAATACTTTAGGATACAAATGGCACAAAGTTAATACTTGGGGTTTCCTATTGGTATTAGCCCTAATAATAATGATAATGATGAATACGATAGAACACGAAAATTGTGTTTCTATCAGAATGTTCCAATGTATAGATGAGGCTCATTGAGCGGGATGCATGATTATTGACGAAAGGCGTTCCCCGGTAGTAGTCTGAGAACGCACTGCGAAGCTTAAGTCGGTGAGGGTTAATTAGTGAGAGAATGGGTAGTTGAGTTAATTACCATAATGTTGTCGATGAGGTATTTATATTCACCTTACTGATGGTTTGAAATTTAAATGCAATGTCAGACATCCATAATTAAAGATGTCTCTTCAAAAGGGGGTGCCTTTGGCGGTACTTAATGTCGCAACTGGCAGATATCGAGAAACATATCTTATGCGGTCTTCGTGCCTCGATAATGATAATATAGATGATAGTCTATGTTGTCAGGCTTCTTAGTTGACATCTTTGCTGGTGATAGCCGCCTCTACAATTTAGGTATTGTACTCTGCATCATTTTCGGAGGATGGCTTCCTCTAGGGGGTATTATATGTTCAGTTATTCAATGGTCCAGATTTTGCTACAAAAATAGATTGTGGATTGAAGGGCTCATACTTCATCAATTGTGATGACAAATGGGTCCTTGTGTTTAACAAAGTTTAACTTACACATTTTACTTAATTACATTATACATGTGTATATTCGAATTGAACAAAAATTGTGATATGTGTATTTGTCCCAATAGTAAACCAAAAATCATGGAAACTTTCCGAACTTGTCTTGGTTAGACCAGGCTAGCCTGCAATGTGCATACGTGAATTTTCTTCTTAGAATCTATGTTCCGGAGGCAAATTGGTCCTTCCAAGTCAAATTATTGCGTTGTCGTCGATATGGACCTTCCCTAAACTACCCCAAATTGTTATATATTAAGCCAATGACCCCTTTCGAGAAAAGAAATGACCTGGAACCCTACCCATCGACGACCCTTTGGTTTCTTTCCTCGAACAAGAACACAATCATTGCACACCTTATTATTATTAAAATCCAAACCTATGGGCTGCAGCTTATCTACAAGTCATCAGAATTCCAAATGCGTCCTGTTGTTCGCGGGTTTAATATAATGCAACATGCATGGGCACGTGGATTATAATAACCTCAACTAGCCCACATCCAGTAGAGTTGGTGCCGGCGGCGTAATGGTATATATTACTATAATACCACCAAATTAACATATGCGCGCAACCGCATGCAGAAAGAAACCTCCCTCCTCTTGCCTCAATCAATCAAAGCCATCAATGGAACCCACTCGATCTTCTTCTCCCGTCAGTCAAATCCATCCTCTAGCTAACACACTTGCCGCCCTGAATTTCCCACCTCCATCCCTTCATCTCACTCACCTACAAATACCCATCTCAACCTCCCCCAAAACACACCACAACAACCCAACAACACTACATTCTCGCCACTCGTCATTCGTTCATCGAAAAAGTAACAGTTGTCTTGATTTCAGAAGTCAGTGGTACATCCAATCAAACAACAAAGCAGATCAAGTCTTGATGGCGGACCTCTTCATCACCGCACTGGCTTCCGTCCTCCTACTCGCCTCCGCAGCATTCTACCTGCTGCGGAAGACCACCAACCGCCGCAAGTTCAACCTGCCGCCGTCTCCGCCGTCCCTGCCTCTCATAGGCAACCTGTTTCAAATGAGCAAGCTTCCCTACCGCTCCCTCCGCACCCTCGCCAAAACCTACGGCCCACTCATGATGGTCAAACTCGGCTCCATCCCTTACGTCATCGTCTCCTCCGCCGACGCCATCCAGGAGCTCACCGACAAGGACCACGACGTCATCTTCTCGGGGAGGCCCCAGTGGAAGTCCTCCGACGCCCTCTTCGGCGGCAGCACCGACATCATCTTCTCCTCCTACGGCGAGTACTGGCGCCAGATGAAGAAGATCTGCATGGTCGAGGTGCTCAGCCAGCGGCGTGTCAACCAGTTCCGCTACATTCGCGAGCAAGAGGTCGAACACCTGGTGGGCATGCTCAAGGACGCGTCTAAAAACAAAACCGCGGTGGATCTCAGCGAAGCCATCTCCACGCTCACCAACACCGTCATCTCCCGAGCCGCCTTCGGCAAAACCTACAACAACCAACAGATGTCCGACGGCGTTAGTAACGGCGAGAAGAACTTCGTCCCGCTGTTGAGGAGAGCGGTGGACATTCTGGCGCAGTTCTGCTTCCAGGACTCGTTCCCGATCCTCGGGTGGGTCGACGCGTTGACCGGGTTTGACTCTAAGGTCAGGAAGGTGTCCAGGGAAGTCAACGACTTCCTGGACACGGTCATCGACGACCACAAGAAAAGAGTTGTGGTCGTCGCGGAAGATGATAGTCATGATGGTTCCGATCACGTGGAGAGGCAGGCCGACATCGTGGACATCCTGCTCAGGGTGCAGAAGGAGCGGGAGCTGGAGTTCAACTTCACCGACGCGAACATCAAGGCAACGCTCCTGGACATGTTCGCGGGAGGGACGGACACCATCGCGACGACGCTGGAGTGGGTGATGTCGGAGCTGGTGAGGCATCCGACCATCATGAAGAAGGCGCAGGAGGAAGTCAGGAGGATTGTTCTGATGGGATCCGAGAGGAAGTCGGGAATCGACGAGGCGGATATCAGCCGGATGGAGTACTTGAAGTGCGTGGTGAAGGAGACGCTGAGGCTGCACGCGCCGGCTCCGGTCTCGCTGAGGAAGACGTCGGAGGATGTGAAGCTGGGAGGGTTTGATATTCCGGAAGGGACGATGGTGATGATCAACCTGTGGGCGGTGATGAGGGATCCGGAGATTTGGGAACAGCCGGAGAGTTTTGTGCCGGAGAGGTTTTTGGCGGAGCCGTTGGATTTTAAGGGACAGACGGGGAAGTTTGTGCCGTTTGGGGCGGGGAGGAGGTTGTGCCCTGGGATGACGTTGGCGCTTGTGGAGGTGGAGCTGGTGGCGGCGAACTTGCTGTGTTGGTTCGATTGGGAGCTGCCGGAAGGGGTGGTGGATTTGGATATGAGTGAGATCAATTCGGTGGTTATTCGTAGGGAGACGCCGCTTTCTCTGGTTCCGGTTCTGAACTCAGAGTGATCGTGGAAGAGGAAGACTCATTTCGGAGATGTGATTTTGTTATTTGATTTATAGTTTAATTAGTTGCTCCTGTTTTAATAATTTTCAAATTTAATGCTTCTTTGTTGAGCTTCAATGTGTTTTGAATTTTTTATACATACTGTTTTTTTTTTGCTAAAGTTTGTTGAACAATAATATTTCTTTTTTGTTGAGTTATATCAATAATATGTTCCGAATCTAAACTTTAATCGCAATAATATAATTCCGACAACTGACTCAGGATTTGCTTTTGTTATTTGTACTTGGAAATTGGGAATCTCAAGTTAGAATTTAGTCAATTAGAGATGGGAGATCCACGAGTTTCTGGTTTCAACCATGGCTGGAGAATAGTGTCATCTTGGTGGACTACTGCACCACTGATCTTTCTGAAGAAGAAAAAGAGTCAAATGTGGCGGACTTGACCACAGACGACGGGGAGTGGGACCGGGATCATTTGAAACAAGGCCTTCCTAATATCGCCTTTGCTGCTATTGCTGGGATATGGAGGCACCAAAACCGCACTTGGGAGAAGACAAAACCGTTTGGGGACTCGAAAGAGATGGGAGATTCAGCTTGACGTCGGCCTACCAACTTGTGGCTAATGATCTTGATGCAGAACGTACACAACAACACTTGGAAGAGTCTCTGGAAATGGAAGGGGCCAAGTAGAATCAAGCACTGCATGTGGCTTGTGCTACAAGATCGCCTCTTTACCAACAAGAAGAGAACTATAAGAAAAATTACTATGGACAACTCTGCCCACACTGCAAGCAACACTAAAAGACAATTGAGCACATCCTCAAAAGCTGCACCAAGGCCAAGAGCAATTGGGAGAAGATGCACAACAAGATTGTGGAGAAGAACGCACAGTTACCAGTGCATGATTGGCTGATCGCCAACCTCTGCAACGAGAAAACAGGAGTGGATTTTGGTATTGTCTACTGGCCCCTATGGAACAAAGAAAAGAGGAGGTTATGGATGGAAAGACCTTCTTGAAGGATGGACTTATTGCAAGGCTAAGGCATGGTTTAACATTGTCTAGCAGGCCTACCAGAATGCAATGAAGGTGACTAATACGAAGACTAGGATGCGAGTTCTCAGAAAGATGGGCTGGGAACTTCCGAGGGAAGGATGGATTCAACTCCAATCAGACGGTTTCGTTCTTCCCCAGACAGGTAGCGCTGCTGCAGGTGGACTTCTACGTGATCACTTAGGAAACTGCAGGGATGCCTTTGTCTGCAGTCTTGGAAACTGCTCTATTACCGCAACTGGGCTCAAGGGAGCGGTCGAGGGACTCAAACTTGCTTGGAGGAAGGGATATCGCAAGGTTAACCTTAAAATGGACTCCACCACAACGATTGACATCATCAAGAACTGTGACAAGGAACGATGATCACTGCCATGGAAGCATCTCATAACAGTTTAGACATCTTTTGAACCTTGAGTGGGAGGTTATTGTTTCTCATGTGTACAGGGAGGCCAATTTTGTTGCAGATTATTTAGCAAACTTGGGCCATAATTTTGATTTTGGTACACATAATCTCAATGTTAGATATAGGGAATTAGTGCAATGGTTTCGCCATGATATAATGGATACATTCCACGATCGTTCTTACTTTATGAATTAGACGCCTTGAGCGTCGATCTTTCTACCCAATAAAAAAGATCGATGAATTTCGCCTTTAACCTGCAATCGCGGCTCCCCCTCAGTAGCTTGTATAAAAATTAAAAAGGCTTTCATTTTTGGAGTTGGACCTGGAACCCAGTTAGCCTAAATTAGTGCTCAATCTTTACTTACCATTAGCGGACTTGGATCAGCATGATAATAATATTACAGTTTCGGATTTGATGAAGGTTGACTTGTACTGAATCCATCAATCCAGCACTTCTGCTTCAAGGCCCAAGCCCAATAAAACGGGGCTGCCGCCAATAAGCAAACCCAGACCCAGTAGACTAAAATGCATGACAATATAAAACTTCGTCTACACAATTTTTCATCAAACTTCGTCTACACAATTTTTTGGGCAATGTCTATTTTTTACCCAAATCTTTTCAAAATTCTTTTATTTTATCCAAACCTATCAAAATTCTATTTATTATCCAAACGTATTATAACTAATCAAAGTTTGGGCATTCATTCTGTTACCGTTAATTTTTTACTAACGGATCTCCACGTCAGCGTCCATATCAGCATCCACATCAGAAATTAAAAAAAATCATAAAAAATGGCAAATCATAAAAAAAATCAAAATTCTCTCCTCCACAGCGCTGCGACCGCTTTCTTCATCTACAAATCAGAACCAGTAAACAAATTAAAACCCATAAAAGCAAAGATCAGGCTGCAGAGGTCGATTACGACGAGGGCATGGAGTATACCCATCTTGTTTTTTTGCAAAAGTATAGGGTGGGGGAGAAAGTCGAGGCGGCGGCGTGTGCGAATGGATCTATTGGGGGATATGGAGAATCGGTGGGTATTAAAAGATAGGGTTGAGTTCAGTCGTGTTTTTCCATTGGAAGATCAATTAACGCGAAACCCTACGCGGGGGGGGGGGGGGGGGGGGGGGGGGAGAGAGTTACATACAGGGGAGAGTGAAGGTGGACATGGAAGCGAAAGGAGAGGAAGCGAGGCGGGAAGAGCGGCAAGGGGTGGTGGTGGAGCCGACGAAGACACCGCCGACGGCGAATTGGGGACGACGGAGAGGGAGGTTGAGGAGAGCTGGGATTTGGAATGGCTTGAAAACGATCGTCCAGCTCGATCTTGACTGTTTGTTGTCCTCAATTAGAACTTGGATGCGCTCAACTAGGAAGAAAAAGAAAAATATGGGGGGAAGATTGGAGAAGAATAGGGGAAAAGGAAAAATCTCTGGGGAAGATTGGAGAAGATTTGACGGAGAAGAATAGGGGGGGGGGGAAGTGGGTTTAATATTTATTTTTAATTAAAAATAGAAATGGTCCTAGCCTGCCACATTGGCTTCCAACTCAGACTGGTGTTGCTCAGTCAACAAACATAACAGAACAGTTAACGGTGGGTTAACGGTTGGATAATAAATAGAATTTTGATAAGTTTGGATAAAATAAAAGAATTTTGAAAAGATTTGGGTAAAAAATAGACATTGCCCCAATTTTTTTGGTAAATACAATATATTAGCCACAACTATTATGAAGCGGGGAATTATAGCCACAACTATTATGAAACGGGGAATTATTAGCCAAACGTTAACTATATGTTAACAATTTCATTAGTAATACTGACTAAATTTTTATGTTTTGAAGTTATAAACTAAAAGCATTCCTACGTGGCCGCTGTCGTGGCCGATGATGTGGCCTTCTCCGTCAAAAATTCAATAACAGTAACAGACAGTTAGCCATATCTTGACCTGCAACAATAATTATGGCTAATAATTTGAATTTTCATAATTGTGGCTATAATTCCCCGTTTCATAATAATTGTGGCTAATATATTGTATTAACCCCAATTTTTTACACCTAAAAATACTTCCACAACGAAACAGCAACCCAGCATATTCTAATTCTAATAGTATAGGTCGTTGTCAAGATTTGGATTCATATGGTCTTGGAATAACTTGTTCTTAAAGCTAGTTGTAATATAATTATTGGGGAATTATCTAGTTTACCAACTTTGTTGATGGAGAGATTCAAACATTGATTTTAGGGCATTGTTTTTTTTTATTCAAATCTTTTTCAGATTCTTTTTTATTAGCCAAATCTATCAAAATACTAAAAATTAACCAAATGTTAACTTTCAGTTAGCAATTTTGTTAGTAATATTAACTTGGCAACATGATACTGATTTGGAAGAGACACATGAAGGTCAACATTACAAAATGTTAGTATTTTAACTAAGAAAAGAGTTACAAAATTATTAACGATAACGTAAAAATGGCTATTATTTTGATACATTACGAAAGATTTGGATAATTAATAGCATTTTAGTAGGTTTGGATAAAGTAAAAGAGTCTGAAAAGGGTTTTGATAAAAAATAGACATTACCCTACATTATTTTATACAATTTATTGTAAAAACTCATTACAGATTGTGATTAAGTCGATTCTTAACATTTGGGTTGTGTTGAGGATTCAAACTCGAAATTTATAGAATAAAGAATATAATATTATATAAAAAATCAATTATTTTCAATAACAAAAATTGCAAAACAAGACATGGTAGAGAATATTAGTATTGTATTTTAAAAGTGCCATCTCCTTACTCATCACTCGAGAGGGAAAATAAAGGCAATAGTTAACAGCTTCATACATGTTCAAAATAAATTAAGCATAGAATTTGAGTGGCCGTAAGCTAATAGGCGGCGGTTCTACCGCAGTATTATTGACTTTCCCCTTATATTAATTTGATAATTATACGTAAGCTCTATGCTCAAAGAACATTTATATATTTCATGGCTCCAAATTTGCCAAATGTCACTGTAAGTCTGTAACAGCTGAAGAAACTCCCTGTTGGATTAATGACCTTATTATAGATCATTGATTAGCTGTGCATTTTTTTGAAGAATCATCCAACCCAGCGGGTGAATGAATGAAGTGTTTATTCATCCAAGCAGATATGGTTTAAAAGATTCTCCCACAACGGCAAACGACGTAGCAAAATTTTCTATATTATCCTCCCAAGTCACTCCAGCTATACAACATACTAATACAATTATACAAACTCCATAATGCAACCATAAAGGCGTTACTTAATCTAATAAAAAACTGGTAAATTAATGTAGATTAGCAGGATAATAATAATTAAGGTCATTAATCTTCTTGGACCTCTCCGTTTCTTAATCAATCCCATCTTTCCAACCCACCAGCTTAGCGAAGTTCTGTTGGGTCGATTAATAATTGTATGTTGTTTGCTCAATATCACGTTGATAAGGGTTGGCATGGCCGTATAGATTACAATAAATAACCATATGAAATATTAACGGTATATCATTGATCAGCTACTGAAAATGAATTCCATTTATTTTTGTCGTTTATGGACACATATACCCCTGTGCAAAATTAATTCCAATTTGGCAACATGATCTGTGTATATCCTACCACATGTCACTTAATCTAGTTTGAATAAATCGTATACATTTTATGAATGTTGATGTTATGCTAATTAGTTGGACGGACAATTCATTGAAGAACGAATCGAACCTAAAATAAAATCAAAATTCAAATATCGAACGTTATGAAAACTGCTCAATAACGTCTCTATTGAAAATGGTTACCCGGCTTTAAAAATCTGTATATTGTCGACGAGAGGAGCTGCGGAGTTTAAGCAGTCAAACAAGGAACCCTACGGACGTGGCATCCAAGTTTATGGCTCATAAATAGCACATCCACCATTCTACTGCCACGTGTCGCCAAAATGGCACGAGGTGCACATGCGTAGTGGATAAGACCTGTTGGATGGAATGGAAGGCCGGGCCCAACAGCAGGAGAGGGGGCGGCCCGGTCGGCTGTTGCATTCCGCAAAAATGTCAAATTGTTCAATACACATGTCTATTCACTTCACTCGATTGATGCCATCATCCAATTACCACAGGGACTTTTCGATACCAGCTTTGCATGTTGTTGTGTAAGGGGTGGTTTGCTTCATGGATTTCATCATGGATTTGGGCATTCATCATGGACTTTGAGCAAAGTCCATTGTTTGCTTCATGGAATTAAGAGAATCAAATCCGTGGGGTCTATGGACTTTGAGAGACCAAATCCGTGGGCCCCACGAATTTTCAAGTTCCACCTCTTGAGGTGGGATTTGGATGATGGATTAAAATCCATGATGGTATTTTACATATCTACCCTCATATATATTTTTTAGATAAAAATATGTCCTATTTTCATGGGTATGCAAATCGGTGGAATGTAACCCAAAACAACTGGAATACCCCGTATATAAAGTTGTAATGTTGTATTTTATTTAAATATGCATGTTAATATTATTAGTTGGATTCAAGTATACACGTTCGAATGTTGACGTATTTCAGTATAATTATTTTTTTTATTTTGTTGTAATGTCGTATTATATTTACACAAGGGCAAACCATTTTGAATACAACTTCAACGCTTTTGAATAAGTCTTTGACGCTTTTGAGTATGTGTTCGATGCTTATGAATATGTGTTCATTTGACGTACTTGTTACAATTGATACACAATATTGTGTACATTATAGATTAGTTGTTAATTACTACCAAATTGTGATGCATTTCTATATTTGTAGTTGAATTATTAGTTCACAAAGTTGTGGTAAAGAGTAAAATTTCTTTGTATGTATTGGATTCATTTTTAATGGAAAATTTGGATTATAATAGATATATAATTAGATAAGGTTAATAAGGTAATTTTTGTTTCATATCCACAATTCTAATAAAGCAAAATCCATAATCAAATCCAACAAGCAAACAATGGACTTGTTCAAATCCATAATGCTAACAAATCCACCATATATTCATGGTTTTCCAAAACTCAGGTTTTACCAAAACCCTCATTTTTCAAATCCATAAAGCAAACGACTGTACAGTAACATTGGGACAGCGTACGTACCGAACACTGATTGCTCATTTCTGTCGCAAAAACCTTACCGGCTAAATTAACTCTCATAAACTGTGGTTGCGAAGAGATCAAAAGAGTTAAAATAAGTGACATGATATGGTGCAACGATACAAAGACATGATTATTTTACATACCGTTTGGTATAAATGAATTCCATAAGTTTTTAGAAATTCATTTTGAAATGAAATCTTTTTGTGTTTGGTATTTAAAAGAATTTATTTTCAATTCTAAATTTTGAATTTTACGGAATTGAAACCAGTTATAGCAATTCCGAGGAATTGAGATGAAATTTTCAAATGAATTCTACTAGTATTTACCAATTATGATAAAATGACACAATTATTCTCATTTATTAACAAAATTACTTCTACATATATTATTTGGCGACAATTCATGCAGTATGAGGAACGTCGACAAGAATTTGATTGTAACACTAATAGCATTATACCAAACACAGTAATTCATTTGACAATAAATTCTACACGGGATTTCATTTTAAAACGAAATGAATTCTATATCCATTTGGTACCAAACAGTCTGTTAGCTTTGTGAAAAAATGAATCGGAATGATGAGTTATGAGTTATGACTTAGTCGGATGGTAGTCCATGGTAAATTCCATAGCCAAGCCAAAGTCTGCACTCCATTTCACCACTGCACTCCAACAGTGGCCGCCGGCTGGGCCTCCATTATTCAAACATGGGCGGTGGGTTTTTATGAACCGTTATCATCATTTTCATGACAACTATGAAAAGCACTCCCCCAAAAATGGCATTTTCCGACCAAAACGACAGCACATCTTCACCTAATGCAAAAAAACAAAACTCCATTTTCCTACCCATTTTCTTTTTCCGCCTCCCCCGCAAAAAATAATTGGTAATGGTCGGTCGTAGGATAACTCAAAATAAACCCCCTCCACACGATCCCCCCTCCTATAAAACCAACTCACCACTCTGCTTCCCCTTCTCATCCTTTCAAACAACTCCCCACAAGAAAAAAAACAGAGCTTTTCCGTGCAGATTAATTCAGTGAGAGTGAGAGAAAATGGAGGGAAAGGAGGAAGATGTTAGACTGGGAGCTAACAAGTTCAACGAGAGGCAGCCGATCGGAACGGCGGCTCAAACCCACGACGACAAGGACTACACGGAGCCGCCGCCGGCTCCCCTGTTCGAGCCAGGGGAGCTCACTTCCTGGTCCTTTTACAGGGCCGGAATCGCCGAGTTCATCGCCACTTTCCTCTTCCTCTACATCAGCGTCCTCACCGTCATGGGCGTCGTCAAGAGCCCCTCCAAGTGCTCCACCGTCGGAATTCAGGGCATCGCTTGGGCCTTCGGAGGAATGATCTTCGCCCTCGTTTACTGCACCGCCGGAATCTCAGGTCCCCTAATTAAAAATCAAAATCCAACTTTAAAATTAAATCAGTTCCAGCCAAAATTGAATTGGAATCTGACATCGATCGTTTTTTAATTTACAGGGGGACACATAAACCCGGCGGTGACGTTCGGGCTGTTTCTGGCGAGGAAGCTGTCGCTGACGAGGGCGGTGTTCTACATGGTGATGCAGTGCCTCGGCGCGATCTGCGGCGCCGGAGTTGTGAAAGGGTTCGAAGGGAAGCAGCAGTTTCAGCTTCTCGGCGGCGGTGCTAACTCCGTTGCCGGTGGGTACACCAAGGGAGATGGGCTTGGTGCTGAAATCGTCGGCACTTTCGTCCTTGTCTACACCGTCTTCTCTGCCACCGACGCCAAGCGTAGCGCCAGAGACTCCCACGTCCCGGTAATTAACGAATTGACCCGCCCAATTCGCGTTTTGTTACCGCTTTGTTTTTTGCTCGGGTTGAAACTAATGGTGTTTTTGGTTCGATTACACAGATTTTGGCGCCACTGCCAATTGGGTTCGCGGTGTTCTTGGTCCACTTGGCGACAATCCCGATCACCGGAACCGGCATCAACCCAGCTCGGAGCCTCGGCGCCGCCATCGTCTTCAACCAGGACAAGGGCTGGGACGATCACGTTAGTTTTCCCGACACTTGATTCCTAAACTTTTTTACAAATTAAGATGATGAATCAATAATCAAATTTTTTTCAACTGAATTTGCAGTGGATCTTCTGGGTGGGCCCATTCATCGGAGCAGCGCTGGCAGCTCTGTACCACACGGTGGTGATCAGGGCCATTCCTTTCAAGAAGTGAGGCCTTGAAGATCAACGGCTACGATTTGCTTTTGCTTGTGGTGCTCTGTTTTGATGCCCTGTAATATTTAATAAAAAAAATCTCGTTTTCTTATTTCTGCAATTGAAGTGAACATTTTCTCCCCTTATGTGTTCTTATTTTCAAGCTGTGAGGGGGGAATATGCTGAGTGGTGAACATGGGTGTGATGGATGGTGGGCCCACAGCTTAAGCTGAGGGATGGGCCCCAGTGTTTGTAATTATTTGTCATGTGGGCTGTGGCTATGGGCTCTGAGATAATTGAAATGAAATGTCGTTTTCCGTCTTTGCCGACCAGCAAAAAACCTACTACTCTACTCTCTCTCCCCTTATCTATCGTGACGACGTCTAGGGATGGCAATGGGTCGGGTTGGGTCTGGTTTTGCCAAACCCAAACCCAAACCCATGGGTTTATCTTTGAAAAAAACCCGGGGTAAAACCCATTGGGTTTGAAAAACTCAAACCCAACCCAACCCGTTGGGTATCCGCGGGTTCATGGGTACCCACGGGTTTTGTCGTAAAAAATTTACAATTACAAGTTCTTATCAAAATTAAAGTCAAATATCAATCTCTCAATACAAAATTATCCATATATAAAACACCATTCTAGAAAATTCAAGCAAATCACAAATTAACTATACAAATTGTTCAACACCAATCTAGAAAACTTAAGAAAATTGAAGCAAATCACAAATTATCCATAAATAACATGTTTAATTGAAAACTTCTTCCTTTCAATTAAGTTTCTTTACTCTCCACTCCATAACATCAACTTAATTCTACACAATTAAAAAGAAAAAATTAGACATGTCTCCACAAATATAAATAAGATTAGTTGTTTAAAATATTAAATATACCGAAAAAATTAATTATATGAGTGGGCGGGTACCCACGGGCCGGATTTACCTAAACCCAAACCCAACCCGGTGAATATTGAACGGGTTTAAACCCAAACCCGACCCAAAACCCGTCAACACGGATTTTACCCGCGTTGACCGGGTTGGGTCGGGTGGGTACCCATGGATTCGAGTTTTGTTGCCATCCCTAACGACGTCCATTCTTTGACTTCTCTTCATTGCAATTTGTTGCGCTGTGCTTTGCTGGGATTAGGTTTGGTGATGCATAATTAGGGATTAGGTGGCTTGTTCCAGTTGATGATAATCGAGTTGTCATTAACTATTGATAATCAGGGCCATTTAGTCATTTAGGTTGGAGTTTTTTTATTGTGATTATTTTTACGAGAACGACTGTTGAATAAAATTGCACTGATATTCTCGGATTTCTTGAAGTAATACAATTTGTTTTGGAGATTTAAATTATTTTGAAAGGTTTTCGATAGAAGTAGATCATACATATTACTTTCTCCTCATATTTTCTAGTGCATGAACATTTATAAATATCGAACTCAAACAACACTTTTGCACTATAGAGTACAAAACTGTATACAAAATAAATAGAAGGTAATAAACAAAGACTTATTACAAGTGACAATATACCGATAATACACGGACCTCGATTATTGTATCTTTGGGTTTTTTGTGTGTATATTGCTTATTAAAAGTAAAATAGAGACTTTCATTGATACTTAATAATAGACAGGCTAGCGCTAGTGCTTTGCAAAGTGGAGTCTGGATCGTTTGAAATCACTAGAGTTGAGAAGGGTCTGTCGAGTACTATCGGGATAAAGCCGAACCCATTTAGCTAGGTTTAGAATAGTGATCAAGAAAATGAATCATGAACGATCAATCTTAAATGTGAAAGAGGTGTCGACCAAATCTCTTGATTTTGGTACGCGGAGTTTGAGGTAATTTGATTTCTAACTTTGCCATGTAATACAATTTCAACATCTTTTGTTGTAATCAATCTTTACATGCCAATATAAATTTTGGAATTATTTAGCAAACATGTGTTGTAGAGTAAAAGAATTTAAAGAAATCACGAATTTTACAGCAAAGATGATGGGAATTCGTGTGTTGTTAAGATTTGATGACTTGGCAAAGTTTTTCTTTTTTCGTATTTTGGTTGCAAGTTTGTGGTAGTTAGTGAATGGATTTTTTAAAGCTTTTAACTGTGGCAAAATATTTGTAGAATACACGTACCCATTGGCTGTGACATTATATAAGGTACAAACGATGTGATGATTGTACAAACATTAGATAGAAAGAACAATTGTATTATGAGATGTCATGTATAATGAAAATCAGTGGCTAAATGCCAAACCACCCAATGTTTTATGTGCAAGGAAAACCGAAGAACACGGAGCTTGGGCTGAAATAAAAGCCCAGAACAGTTATCGGCTGGACATGAATAGGTTAAACTTGAAGCCCAAATTCAATACATTTGGGTTTTCATATTTCCTAGCCCAATGAGGATAAGCGTGGAAATTTACGCAGGGCCTTAGCCCTTAGGCAAGCTGTAACTCGCAACTGCAAACTGTTCTGTTGTATTGCTCAGCGCCAAAAACCCTAGCTAATCGCTCCTTCTTCCGCTCTCCTTCTTCCGTCTGCCCCTCTCTGCTTCTATCGAGATCGGAAAAATGGCGACGGGCGAGCAGACAGTACTCCAATTCGCACCGACGGCGTCTTCGACTACCTTGTCGGCGAAGGTGCACCCGCTGGTCGTTTTCAACATATGTGACTGCTACGTGAGGCGGCCGGACCAAGCTGAGCGGGTTATTGGCACATTGCTGGGATCCGTCTTGCCTGACGGAACTGTTGATATCCGCAACTCTTATGCCGTTCCTCACAATGAATCTTCCGATCAGGTAATCCTCAGCTTACTTTCAACTTTCTGAATCAATGGGGGCTGTTAACGGGCGTAGAGTTTAGGTCAATCGAATTTGATGTTCTGAGAGTAGTGGATTCGGCAGATGGTGTGATGTAATACACCATCGATTGTCTGCGGTGAATGTTTGGATATGGGGGAATTATAGATTGAAATGAGGAATAACTATTTTGCGACTAAGTCTAGTGTTCACGGATAGTGGGATTTCTGGAGCTTAATGAGCTCTGCTGTTAGACGAATTCATGGCAGCTGTATTTGTGTCAGAGTTTCCTGTAGGTATGGATTGGAAGGGGCTGTTTCAAATAGACTGTAACTTTGGGGATGATAAAATACTTGACGTTTAGTGTTCCCTTCTCCTGGGGTTTTGCAAGCTGGAATTTTTGTTAAATGTTTTTTGCAGGCTGTATTAGGTTTCCTTGTTTGGTTTACCAGCTATGGTGTGTTTCTGATTTTAGCTTATGATAGTTTGCATGATTTTCTGAGCTTTTGTTTCAATATGCAGGTTGCATTGGATATTGATTACCATCATAACATGTTGTTGTCTCATCAAAAGGTTAATCCGAAGGAAGTTATTGTTGGCTGGTAAAATCCCATTTCTATGTTTCCCCTATATTTTGTTACTCGAGATTCCTTATTGATAATTTGATATGAAGCGCAATAGAGTTCCTATATGAGCTTTAGTGGTAATTTAATTAACTTTGCTGGTCAGAACTTTGAAAAACCCAACCTTGGGGCTGGAATTCCTGTCCTGTTAATACGATGGTTCTCTTTCTTTTACTATATGAAATCTGAGCCTGATAGGGATGTGGTTTTGCACTTTGTATTGCTCTCATATAGCGAGGTACATCTGTGTTAAATTACTGTTCTTTAATTATTGCACTTAAATCTAATTATTATCGTGCCAGGTACTCAACCGGTTTGGGAGTCAGTGGTGGGAGTGCACTTATCCATGACTTCTATGCTAGAGAAGTTTCCAACCCTGTTCATCTAACAGTTGACACTGGGTTCAGAATGGGAGCGCCTGCTATTAAAGCTTATGTGTCTGTTAATTTGTCCCTTGGAGACATTCAGCTTGCGGCACAATTTCAAGAGATCCCACTTGATCTTCGCATGATTGAAGCAGAGCGGATTGGATGTATGAATCCTCCTAACTGCACATATTGCTACAGATGATCCAAATGCAAAGTTTTGTTTGAGTAATGCCACTACCGCCTAATCTATATTTGTTATCCTCTTCTCCTTCTATAATATTTTGTAGTTGACATCCTGAAAACAACAATGGTCGACAAGCTACCAAGTGATTTGGAGGGGATGGAAGCCTCAATGCAGCGGCTACTTGCACTGATTGATGATGTCTATAAATATGTTGATGATGTGGTGGTGAGTTAAGATAGTTCCATCCATTTATCTCTTATTTCTGCACCCGGTTCAAGCCTCTGATGCAGTGCTACCACCTGCTTTCTTCCTTGTTCTCAGCAAGGCGTGACTGCTCCAGATAACAGTGTAGGAAGATTTATATCTGAAGTCGTTGCCTCACTTCCCAAACTGTCTCCCGCTGTATTGGATAATTTAGTCAATGACAACATGCAGGTAAACCCATTTTTGTTCATCTGAGAATAACACCGAGTATTTCAACACTTTATTATATAGTGGTTCTTGTTCCTGACCATGGTTCTTGTCTTCCCTTTTCACAGGACCATCTGCTCTTGCTATATTTGTCGAGCATAACAAGAACACAACTCAGTATAGCCGAGAAATTGAACACAGCTGCCCAGATTATCTGAAGAGCTCTCAGGGTTTCTAAGTTCTGGATTTTTTTGACGCGTAATGACAGCATCGCCAGAGTTGAGTATCCAAATGTGAGGAACCAATATCGATTTTGGAAAGTGTTTTTTTTTTGGGTCCTTTTTAACTTGATCTCAATGATCCTGGTTTAGTCCTAATCACATCTATGTACTCTGTAGCCTGATGGTAAGAAGCTTGGTTCGTTGCATTGGTTTCGAGATTGTTGGTGTCTATAAGTACCTGCCTTATCTTGATTAGGAATGGCAAATTAACATATTACCGTGGTACCCAACTGAATCTAAATTGATTTTTTTTTTTTCCAGATAAGGGTGATATAGGTTTATTTTTTGTGATTAGGTACTGCTTAAGGGATTGAAACCCCATACTGGTTACTTTTAGTATGACATATTACGTTTCTGCACAATTTTAATTAGGAGTATAATTACAATTTTAAAGCCATGGTTCCTGGCTCCTGATCAGGGTATTCCCCGCAAGAAACGCTCCTTATTCTTCAACGTAAATCTCATGGTGCGCAGCTTCCAGTCACAGGTAACAGGTCCGAGCTCTTCCAGCCATTGAATCCCAAGTATGACATCCCCTGCAATCGGCAGAGCATACAGAGTAACCGAAACCTCCAACCCTTGAATATCCATCACCACCGCCGTGTATTTAGTTCGACAAGCCAGCTTCTCGCCGTTCACCGTTCCAAGTCTCAACGGTTGTACTAGCGGAGTTGCTTTCAACTGAAGATCGACTGCTAAACGTTCATTAATGAGATTGAT